TAAGATTTATTATCCACAGCATGATTCAATGCTGTGGATAAATTTGATCTTTTTTTATCATTTTGTGTGTTTCTTTCTGGAGTGTCTGATTGTAGTTGGTATATAATAAAAAGCCATTTGAGAATCTCTAAATTGTTTTTCACATGCATAAATAATGTTTTGTTTTTGTTTTTTAAAGATTTCAACACTAAAATGTCATTGTGTTTGCTCTCAGCAAGCATCCATGTGAAGCCAGCACTGAAGGTAGAGGAAGTGGAAGATGGAGAGATGACCGTTCCCAAAATCATTGTCCCCTCAGAGTTAGACTCAATGACCCTCACTGTACCTATAACAAATTTGATGACCCACAGGTCAGTGTTTATCCATCTGATCTATTAATATGAGTTATAGGCTAAATAGTTTAGGTTGTGTCTCTGAAAGTCCTGGGGGTTTTTTCCACCCTCAGCAAAGCTGTGGATTCAGAGTAGGTTGTTCTTCATCCACAAAGCTCTAGTTTAGTAAAACTACAGCTGCTATAGTAAAGACTGTAATATGTTTTATGTTTTTGTTCAGAAGAATGCAGGAGGAGACGGTTCCTGGTGAGGAAGATGAACAAGACCTGAACAAGTCTGATCTACTTGCTGTGGACGAGTGAGTTTTTAAAAATCTGAATAATAGCTTGTTTTTTGTCTTAAAAGCCTTGCTTAGACTCGACTGAGATGTCAAAACTTCTTGCGATCAATCTGATATGTTGTTACTTCCTGTAGAGGCCTTGAGCGTCCTTCATCTGCAGCCAGTCAGACAAGTATTGTTGTGAATGACCGTCTGCAGGAGCTGGTCAAGCTATTTAAAGAGCGCAAAGACCGTGCAAGAGAGAAACTGGTTGATCCAGACGAGTCTGATGATGAAAGCCCATCGGCATGTGAGTAGACTTTTATTTGCGGTTTATTTTACTGTATTAATTCAGTGATGTCAGGTCAAGGATAGATAGTTTCTTCACCTTTGATTTTTTTAACCGTAGCTCCAGCCAAAAAGCCTGGGGAAGCCCCACCTCCACCACCTCCTCCAGAGGAAAAGAAAGACGCTGAGGAGATGGCTGAAGAGGAGGTGATGATCTACGAGTTTATGGGATACAAGATCCCAGTTCCCCAGTTCAAAATGCCCCAGATTCCTGACTGGCTGAGAGTAATACTGGAGTACCGTTTCCCATCCAGCATTGATCCCTACACAGGTGAGCTCTATAACCAGCTGAAGTAAGTGAGCTCTATATGGATCACAATGGGCCATTGTTATAAAAATATACAAGCAAACTACCTAATTACTTTTAAAAGTAATTAATTACTATTAAAAGTGTCATATAATAAGAAATTGACATGATTTTTTTTAATAAATTTTTTTTTGTCTTGTTTTGAAAATTTGTCCTTTGAATCCAAAAACAGCCAATTGTGTGTGTGTGTGTGTGTGTGTGTGTGTGTGTGTGTGT